AAATGCCTAGCCTATAGTAGGTATTCAATAAATAAAAGTTACCTGAGTGCTAAACAGAAACTCTATGTGTAACTTTGGAAAAGTTAATTCATAAAACTATAGAAAATTAATAATTTCTTACCACATGAAATGTATTTGATAGACAGAACCCAAACCCACTGCCACTGACTCATAGCAACCCTTTAGGATAAAGGAGAACTGCCTCACAGGGTTTCCAAGGCTGTAAATCTTTACAGAAGCTGACTGCCACATTTTTCTCCCATGGAACAACTGGTGGGTTAGAACCTCTGACCTTTTGGTTAGCAGCCAAGTGCTTTAACCACTCTATCACCAGGCTCCTTGTTTGATAAATGTGAGGGAAGTCCAAAGAAAATGAAATACTTAGGCATAAGCACCTACCATGCACAGGTTGTGCATGCTGAAAAATTTTTAATAAAATTTAAAATAAAGAAGACCTAAATAAATGGAGAGCCATACCATGCTCATGGATTGGAAAACACAGCATAGTAAAGATGTCAATTCTACCCAAATTGATGTATAAGTTAAATGCCAGCTAATATTTGTTATTCTGAAATATTTATGGAGTGGCACAGGCCCTAGAATGGCTATAGTCTTGACAAAGAAAACCAAAGTGGGAAAAATTACTCTACTCAAAATTAAGGCTCACAGTAAAGCTACAGTAATCAAGACAGTATTGGTGCAGGGATAGACATAACGACCACTGAAACAGAATAGAGAATCCAGAAACAGACCCACACAAATATGCCCAACTGAAATTTGGCAAAGATGCAAAAACAATTCAGAAGAAGGGATAGCCTTTTCAACAAATGGTGCTGGAACAATTGGACATCCATAGGCAAAAAAATGAATGTTGACCTAAACCTTACACCTTGTACACAAGTTAACTCAAAATGGACTTTAAGCTTAAATGTAAAGCATACAATGATAAAATTAAAAAAAAAAAAAAAAAGTGGGAGGGAGAAGAAGAAGAAGAAAATGTTCAGGATACAAGGCTAGGCAAAGAATTCTTAGACTTGACACCAAATGCACGATTCATAGAAGAAAAGAATGATAAATTGAATCTCATTTTGGTCTGTAAAAGTGCATGTGAAGAGGATGAAAAGACAAGTTACAGACTGAGAAAATACTTGCAAACCACTTACCTAACAAAGGACTAGTATGTAGAATATTCAAAGAACTCTCAAAAGTCAATAGTAAAAGACAATTCAATTGAAAAATGTGCAAAGACATGAACAGATATTTCACTGAGGGAAATACAGATGACAGATGTTTTAACATCATTGACATTAGGGAAATGCAAATTCAAACCACAATGGGACATCACTATACACCTATCAAAATGGCTAAAATTAAAAGTAGTGAAAACACCAAATGCTGATGAGGATGCAGAGAAACTGGATCTTTCATACATTGCTGATGGGAATGAAAACTGTGGAAAATAGTTTGGCAGTTTCTTATAAAACTATATATACAATTACCATATGGTCCAGCAACTGCACTCTTAGGCATTTATCCCAGAAAAATGAAAACTTATGGTCACACAAAAACTTGTATGAGAATGTTCATATCAGCTTTCCAAAACTGAAAACAGCCCAGATGTCCTTCAGTGAGTGAATGAATACTACTCAGCAATAAAAAGGAACCAACTATTGATACATACAACAACTTAGATGAATCACCAGGGAATTATACTAAGTAAAAAGAAATAATTCCAAACATTGTATACTATTTGATTCCATGTATATGACATTTTTGAAATTACAAAATTTTAGAAGTGGGGAACAGATTAGTGGTTACCAGGGGTTAGGGACAATATGGAGGGAGCAATAGTCAAAGGACAATAACCAGGATCCTTGTGGTACTGGAATTCTTCTGTGTCTTGACTGTAGTGGTAGATAACACAAACCTACACATGTGACAAAGCTGTTTAGCATTGAATACACATACACACAAATGAGTATAAGGAAAATTTGGGAAATCTGAATAAGATCAGTAGATTGTATCAATGTCAGTATCCTAACTGATGTTACCATCAGAGAAACTGTGTGTAGGGTACACAAGCCCACTAGCCCGCCGCCATTAAGTTGATTCCAACTCACAGAGACCCCTATTGGGTTTCCAAGGCAGTAAATCTTTACGGAAGTAGATTGCTCTGTCTTCCTTCCATGGAGTGGCTGGTGGGTTTGAACTGCCAACCTTCTGGTTAGCAGTCAAATGCCTTAGGCATTGCACCACACAGATGTATTATTTCATACGACTACATGTGACTCTACAGTAATCTTGATATTTTCAACTGAAAATCACTGTTTTCGTAATTAAAAATTAGTATTTCCCTAAGAACTTGAAAATATATCAGAAAAGAGATAAGAAAAATCATCAGCCTGAAATATAATCTTTTGATACATTTCTTGCTTTTTGTTTTCCCCTACATTTGTTGTTGTTAGACTAGGTGCCATTCAGTCCGTTCTAATAGTGATCCCATGCACAGCAGGATGAAACACTGCCCAGTAATTCAGCCCATCATCACAGCCACAATGTCAATCCATCTCATTGAGAATCTTTCTCTTTCTCATTGACCCTCTACTTTAGCAAGCATGATATCCTTCTCCAAGGACTGTCCCTTCTGACAACATGACCAAAGTAAGAGAAACAAAGTCTGCCCATTCTTGCTTCTAAGGAGGACTTGGCTGTAGACAGATTTGTTTGTTCATCTGGCAGTCCACGGTACTTTCAATATTTTTTGCCAGCACCAAAATTCAAATGCATCAATTCTTCTGTGGTCTTCCTTATTCATTGTCCAGCTCTCACATGTGTATGAGGCTATTGAAAAGACCATGGCTTGGGTCAAGGACACCTTAGTCTTCAAAGTGACATGTTTTCTTTTTAATACTTTAAAGAGGTCTTTTGCAGCACATTTGTCCAATGCAGTACGTCGTTTGATTTCTTGACTGCTGCTTCCTTGGGCATTATAAGATGAAATCCTTTACAAATTCAATCTTTTCTCCATTTATCATGTTGTTGCTTATTGGCCCAGTTGTGAGGAGTTTTGTTTTCTTTATGTTAAGGTATAATCTATACTGAAGATGTAGTCTTTGATCTTCATCAGGAAGTGTTTCAAGGTTTCTCCACTTTCATCAAGAAAGGTTGTGTCATCTGCATATCACAGGTTGTTAACAAGTCTTCCTCCAATCCTAAAGCCAGTTCTTCTTCATGTAGTCCAGCTTCTTTTATTATTTGTTCTCCATAAAGATTGAATAAGTATGGTGAAAGGGTACAACCATGACACTCATCTTTCCTGATTTTAAACCATGCAGTATCTCCTTGTTCTGTTTGAACAACTTCCTCTTGATCTACGTATAGGTTCTTCCTGAGCACAATTAAGTGTTCTGAAATTCCATTCTTCGCAATGTTTCTCATAATTTATGATCAACACAGTCGAATGTCTTTGCATAATCAATAAAACACAGGTAAACATCTTTCTGGTATCCCCTGCTTTCACCCTAGAACCAACTGACATCAGCAATGATATTCCTCATTCTGTGCCCTCTTCTGAAGCTGGTTGGAATTTCTGGAAGTTCCCTGTTAATATACTGCTGTAAATTTTTTTTTTTTTTAATTATCTTCAGCAAAATTTTACTCGTGTGATATTAATTATATCATTTAATAATTTCCACATTCTGCTGAGTCACCTTTCTTTGGAATAGGCACAAATATGGATATATTCCAGTCAGTCAGGCAGCTGTCTTCCAAATTTCTTGGCATGAACAAGTGAGAATCTCCAGCACTGCACCTGTTTATGGAAACATCTCAAGTATTCTGTCACTTCCTGGAGCCTTGTTTTTCACCAATTCCTTCAGGGCAGCTTGGACTTGGTCCTTCAATATCATCAGTTCTTGATCATATACTATCTACTGAAATAGTTGAATGTTGACCAGTTCTTTTTGGCATGACTCTGTGTACTCATTCCATCTTCTGTTGATGCTTTCTGCATCATTCATTATTTTGCCCATATAATCCTTCAATATTGCAACTCGAGGCTTGAATTATTTCTTCAGTTCTTTCAGCTTGAGAAATGCTGAGCATGCCTTTCCCTTTTGGTTTTCTAATTCCAGGTCTTTGCACTTTTCATTATAATACTTAGTCTATTCAAGCTGCCCTTTAAAATCTTCTGTTCAGCTTTTTTATTTATTTGATCATTTGTTCCATTGGCTTTAGCTACTCTACATTCAAAAACAAGTTTCAGAGTCTCTTCTGATGTCCATTTTGGTCTTCTTTTCCTTTCTTATCTCTTTAATAACCTTTTGCTTTCTTCATGCAAGATGTTCTTGATGTCATCCCACAACTTGTCTGGTCTTTGGTCATCGGTGCTCAGTGTGTCAAATCTATCCTTCAGATGGGTTCTAAATTCAGGTGGGATATACTCAAGGCCATATTTTGGCTCTCGTGGTCATGTTTTAATTTTCTTTAGCTTCAACTTAAACTTGCATGTAAGCAATTGATGACCATGCAATCAACTGTATTAATAATTACTGGTGACTGGAATGAGAAAATTGGAAACAAAGAAGAAGCATCAGTTGCTGGAAAACATGGCCTTGGTGATAGAAATTACACTGGAGATCTCATGATAGAATTTTGCATGACCAACAATTTATTCATTGCAAATACCTTTTTCAACAACATAAATGATGACTGTACATGTGAACTTCACCAGATGGAATGCACAGGAATCAAATTAACTACCTCTGTGGAAAGAGACTATGGAGAAATTTCTACATTTATGTGGAAAAGAAAAAAGTGTGAGAGAAGGGGCTAAAAATCAGAGTGGTGAGAATGTGGGGGCCTTGTTGTCCCCCACCTCTGTGACATCAGAACTCATGCTCAAGGGATGCCTGGTGACTAGAAGTGGGTGAAGGGGAAGGCCACCCCTCTGCCTGTCTGGTGGGGGTGCCCTGTTCTCACCAGGCAGCCTGACTGAGGCTATGGTGATCCCACAGGTAGGCAACAGGGTGCAAGTGGCAGCTGAACTATTTGAAAGGAGAAGAAACAGCCGCTCTGAAGACAAGAAGCAGGTAAGGCCACACTAGGGGTACATGCTTTCCTCCCTGTCTGAGCTCCTCCAGACAGATGGTGAAGTTTTCAAAGTCAAGAATGGCCCTTCAGCCCAACTCTCCCTGGGTCTCACCCAGTGGATTGAGGCTGAAGTAGTTACTAACTCTATTTACCCCTCAGTGCTACCAGCAGAAAATATGCTCCAGAAGGGTAGGGTTTTTTGCTTTGTTTCTTGCTCTATCCCTGGTATATAGGATGGTCCTTGGTGTATAATAGGTGATCAATGAATGAATGAACTAAAATAATCAGGAGAATATACCCAAACTGGGGAGCTTCTGTTAAAAAGGAAAACTTGAACATTTACTGTGCACAGTGGATGCTTTCCACCCACTCCCTCTTTCATGACTGACAACATTTCCAAGAGGTAGCTACTATTATCAATCTCTTTCACAGATGGGTAAACTGAGGCTCAGGAAGGCAAAAATGACTTTTTTGGGGGCTATACAGATGGGATATGTCAGAGGCAGGACTGGAAAGTCAGGCCATCCAATTCCAGAACCCTTAGCAAGGGTTACCACTGCACCCCTCTGCCTCCCAGATGGAAAGTGAGGGAGTGATAGAAGAGGAGGCTATGAAGGTCGTTGAGCCTTGCATACTATGGAAAGGGGTGGAATTTTCTTTTGAGGGTAATAAGGAGCCATTAAACAGTTTTAAGCTGGGTAATGAATGCCTATCTATATGTGTTTTCAAAAGATTTGTTAACTCGTTCATGTAATAGACATGTGCCAAGCACCTCCGATATGCTGGACCCCACAATACACTGGGAGCCCTAAGGGGCTCAAATAACACTGCAGCTTTTCCTAAAAAGAGTTTCACAAATTCCAAACCCCAGAAATTTTAGGAAGAAATCATAAATAGGGTTCCATGATCTTTATAGCTTTAGGTTTTACATTTTGGTCTTTGATCCAACTTAAGTTAGTTTTTACATACATTATGAAATATGGATCTTGTTTCATGTTCTGCAAATGGGTAACTATTGGTCTCTCTTCGTCCAGAGCCAAGAAAAGTGAAGAAAAAGATTCAAGGAAATAATTAGTCCAAAAGACTAATGGAGCACACTAACCATTGCCTCCACTACCCTGAGACCAGAACTCTATGGTGCCTGGCTACCACTGCCAACCACTCTGACCATGACCACAATAGAAGGTCCTGGACAGAGAGGGAGAGGGAAAAATGTAGAACAAAATTCAAAATCATCAAAAAGACCAGACTTACTGGTCTGATTGAGACTGGTGGAACCCCCGAGACTGTGGCCTCTTCAAGCCTGGAACTGAACTCACACTCAGGGACCAACTTCCAGCCAAACAATAGATAAGCCTATAAGGTGATTAATAAAACCAGGAAGGAATGTACTTCTCAGTAAAATTAGTCATAAGAGACCAAGAGGGCAGCATTTGCCTGAAAACAAACCTCAGAAGCAGAAAGGGGCAGGAAAGAAGGATGAATGGAAATGAGGCACCCAGAGAGTAAATGGGAAGAGTGCTCTTACGTTGAGGAGATTGCAACCAATGTCAGGAAAGAAAATGTGTATAAATTGTTGAATGGAAAGCTAATTTGTTTTGTAAACTTTCATCTAACTACAATGAAAAGTATTCAAAAAAAAAAAAAAAAAGGAGGAGGGTTTTCCATGGCCCATCAGTTTGGGAACGCGTACCTTAGCCCCTTCTTGGAGATTATCTTTGCTCATTTGTATAATGAAGGCTCTGAGAAATCCTGTAGCGAAGATACCTGTTAGTTTTGGTTACTACAACATTTCCCAACTGATTCAACCACAGAGCCTCCATTTTGTCTTTTCAAGAGACTTTTCAAGATATTTCAAAATCCATTTTACAGATGAAGAAACCCAGGCTCAGGGAAAAGAACTGATTTCCCTCAGGTCCCAATGCACCACCAGCAAAAGGAGAAAAAAAATCTAATCCTAATCCACTTTCTTCCTTTTACCACCCACCACATAGCACAAAATGGAAATCTAACAAGCTTGCTGGTGAAGAAAACCTAGAAAGCACATTGATGAGAAACAGTTAAATAAATAGAAGAGCAATCAGACCTTGGAATACGCAACTAAGGGTTGCAACACCCTTAGTCCCATCACAGCCCTGATCAATGTAAAGGGAGATTCCCTGGAGTGTGGCCTACAAGACTTTTATATTACAAGAGATAAAAGGAGAGAGAAGCCAATAATGACCAGAATTACTGGTCAGATGAAATCCGGGGAGACTCCCAATACTATGGCCCTGGAATACATTCTGCTCCTGGAATAAAACTCATTCCCAGGGGCTGGCTCTCAGCCCAATAGTTAACAAGATGTACATGCAGACCACTCAACCCAGGATGATATACCCACATACTCGATGATAATACATCTCTTAGAGCAATAGACCACTGGACACGAGAGGACCAGCATTCAAACTGAGGAAATGCAGGACAAACAGAGTGCATAAATACAAGGGACACAGGGGGAGGGTTATAGGGTAGGGAGGGGAGAAGACTGGGTCAGAGTTGGACATGGTGAATGTGGAATGAAACTAAATGTACACGTTACGTTGAAAGTAAAACAAGCTCTTAAAATAATAAATAAATAAATAAATAAATATGCACAGTAAAACATACCAAAAAAAAAAAAAGAGAGAGAGAGAGAGAAGCAAGCAGAGACGGGGTTCCTACCAGCACCAAGAAAGAGGACCTGTCAGTGGAACATATCATTTGGACCCAGGTTCCCTGTGCTGTGACCATCCTAGGAACAAGAGACAGGGAAAGTCTTCCCCTAGGGACAACACTCTGAATTCAGACTTCTAGCCTCCTAAACTGTAAGAGAAGGAGCTCTGGTGGCGTAGTACCTAAGGCATTTGACTGCTAACCAGAAGGCTGGCCACCAGCCACTCCTCAGAAGGAAGGTTGGGCAATCTACTTCTGTAGTGATACCACCTCAGAAACTCAAGGAGCAGTCACTATGAGTCGGGTCCATCTCAACAGCAGTGAGTTTGGTTTAAAAAAAAAAAAAAAATGTAAGAATAAATTTCTGTTTGTTAAAACCATCCACTTGTAGTATTTCTGTTATAGCACCACTAGAGAACCAAGACACATACCCTTACCATATAATCCAACATTTGCCTTTCTGGATACTAACCCAAGAGAAATGAGACTATATATCCACAGAAAGATTTTCTACTACATTTTTTGTAATAAAGATGTAAGTAACAAATCATTTGTCATTTCAACTATCTTTACATGTACAGTTCCATGACATTAAATATAGTTATGTTGTTCAGTTGTCCTCATTCTTGAATATTTCCATCACTCTTATCATGCAAAAATTTTTCCACAAATGTTCAAAGAAGTTTTATTCATAATAGCCAAAACCTGGAAACAAGGCAGAAGTCCTCAACAGTAAATAGATCAATGGTGGTATACTCACACACTATAAATACTATTCAGCAATCAAATAATCACAGAAAAGTGTGAATGCATCTCAAAACATTACATGGAGAAAAAAGAAGGCAAACATGAAAGAATATATACTATCAATTTAACTTTATAAATAAAGTTATAGAACTGGCAAAACTACTCTTCAGTGACAGAAAGCAGTTTTGTTGTTCCCTCTAGTGAGGTAGGGCATGAGGGAAATTGAAAAATGGAAATGATGGAAAATGTTCTATATCTTGATTGAAATGGGAGTCCACAGGTATACACATTTGTAAAAAATCATCAAACTATGTTTAAATATATGTGTTTATTGTATGCAAATTATAATGCAGTGAAGTTGATTTTTTAAAAGAGTAGTAAAACCAAAAGATATAAAAGTGAGGTGAGAAAAAGGAAGGTCTTCTTTCTTATAAGGGAGAAAGGTGGGAAAACACAACTACATGTCAGAAAGTTACCATGTTATCTATCTGTGCAATTTGGGAGGTTTTGTAGTAAGCATGTGTGATTTCAAGAACTAGAAAAAAGAGTTCGTCTCTTGTAACTGGATCGCATTGTCTGAAGGTCATGATACCCCTGGAAAAGGATATTATGCTGGGTAAAGTAGAGGGTCAGTGAAAAAGGGGAAGACCCTCAACAAGATGGATACCCACAGTGGCTGCAGCAATGGACTTGAGTATAGCAATGATTGTGAGGATGGTGCAGGACAGGGCAGTGTTTCATTCTGCTGTGCATAGGGTCACTATGAGTCGGAACTGACTTGGCGGCACCTAACAACAAGAGAAAAAGAGTTAAGCTCTAAAAACTACCGTATAGCAGCATCCCATAGGAGCTCTGGTAGCATAGTGTCTAAGGCACTTTACTGCTAACCAGAAGGCTGGTGGTTCAAACCCACCAGCCACTCCTCGGAAGGAAGGTTGGGCAACCTACTTCCATAGTGATACCACCTTGGATCTGACTCAATGGCACATAACAGCAACAGCAGCAGCAGCAGCATCCCATGCCTGTTCCTAAGCAAGGGAAGTAGGGGAGAAGGGAGAGGTTCTCTGCCTTCCAGGAACTCACCCTCTATTTCCCCCTCTTCTTGCCCCCAGTCACTGTTGACATTGCTGGTCTTGGTGCTGTACTTGGGCACATGGATATCAGGTGAGCATTCTGGAGTCTCCGAGAAGAGAGAAACTGAGTCCACACGGAGTGGGGAGAGAGATTCTGGAGGTGGTTGCATGCCAAGGGGGCCGCCAACAAACTGCCTTCTTCTTCCCCTCTTCATTCCACTGGGATGACCCACCGTGTTTATTTCAACCACTGCTCATTTTCACTTATTAAGAGATGGTATTTTTGCCTCTTTCAGGAAGAAGTTGGGAAGTGTCAGAAAAGATCAGAGAATGTAACTACCCCCAGGATACTGTGGCAACCCAGGTAACATATTCAGGAAAGTACTGGAGGGGATGATAAACTTGGCTGAGGAAATCTGAGAAGGCTTCCTAGAGGAGGTGTCATTGGCAAGCTGGGTCTTAAAGGTTAAGTAGGAGTTGGCCAGGTGGAGAAGGTGGGGATAGATACAAGTGCAAAGACTCAGGGAACTTCTCAAGCCAGTGGCACAGGGATCGCACATGAAAATGTGCAAGATTCCACTTTGTTATGTGCCTTTCAGGGGCTTGAATATCAGACCAATGACTGCTCTGAAGTACCAGTAAAGTTCATCAGGCACTGGTTGAAGCAAAACTTGCGTGTTCTCTTGGAGAAGCTGGACGAAGAGCTGCGTGAGCTGGAGCAGCTGGTCCAGGACCTGGAGGAATGGCTAGATGCCCTCCTGGGAGAAGCATACCTGGAGATGCCATGCTCTACCCTCAGAAAGCACTTGTGAGGGACTGGGGTTGGGACTTGGGATAGAGGCAATGTGGGACAGCCTTTGCCAGGGACTCCTCTAATTAGGTATGCTCTCTGACACTGTTCAGGCAAACAAGAAAATAAAGACATTGGAAAACTAATCTGCTGTTTGGGCCACTGCTGATTCATGAATGCTGGTTCATATAGCTGCAGGAATACCTGAGCCCCACAGAGATACTGTCCCTCATACAAGGATCCTGCAGTGCCTTGGAAAAAAGCACAGCTTCAAGATGTTCCTCTGCCTGGTACTAGCTCTGAAACTTTGGGCAAATTTCCTTAACCTCTCTGAGGCTCAATACCCTCATTAGCAAAAATTGGAGAAGTAAACTTTGTCTCATAAGGATCAAATGTACACATATAAACACTGTGTCTGTCATATGTTGTTGTTATGTGCTGTCAAGTTGGATCTGACTCATAGAGACCCCTCCTTGGGTTTCTGAGGCAGTATCACTAAGGAAGTAGATTATCCAACCTTCCTTCCGAGGAGTGGCTGGTGGGTTTGAACCACCAGCTTCCTGGTTAGCAGTCAAGTGCCTTAGGCACTATGCTACCAGAGCTCCCTGTCTGTCATATAGAAACAGTGAATACCTGTTGCCTTAGAGTTGACTCCATGTGTGTCAGAGTAGAACTGTGCTTCAAAGGTTCTCAGCAGCTGATTTTCCAGGTTGATTGCCAGCCCTTTCTTCTTAGGCACCTCTGGGTAGACTTGAACAAACCTCCAATCTTATAGTTAGCAGCTGACCACATAACCTGTACCACTCAGGGACTCCATATAGAAGATAGCCAATAAATGGTTCTTCTTTTATTATTTTCTTCCCTGGAACTTAGCAACAGAACTCTGGTTGTAAGCATGCAAATATTATGCTGTAACTCAAACCTCTGACATTGCTGGTGGAAGCCTGTTACTGTTGTTAGGTGCTGTCAAGTTGGTTCCATCTCATAGTGACCCTATGTACAACAGAATGAAACACTGCCTTGTCCTGGGCCATCCTCATAATTCTTGCTATGCTTGAACCTACTGTTGCAGCCACTGTGTCAATCCATCTCATTGACAGTCTTCTTCATTTTCCCTCTGCTTTACCAAGCATGTTATCCTTCTCCAAGGACTGGTCCCTTTTGACAACATGACCAAAATAGGTGAGATGAAGTCTGGCTATTCTTACTTCCAAGGAGCATTCTGGTTGCACTTCTTCCAGGAGAGATTCATTCTTCCGGCAATCCATGCATGGTATTTCCCATATTCTTCACCAACACCACAATTCAAAGGGATCAACTCTTCTTCACTCTTCCTTATTCATTGTCCAGCTTTCACCTGCATATGAGGCTATTGAAAATACTATGGCTTGGGTCAGGCACACCTTAGTCTTCAAAGCGACATCTTTGCTCCTTAACACTTTAAAGAGGTCTTTTGTAGCAGATTTGCCTGCTGCAATATGACTTTGATTTCTTTACTGCTGCTTCCATGGTTGTTGATTATGGACCCAAGTAAAATGAAATCCCTGACAACTTCTAACTTTTCTCCACTTATCATGATGTACTCTAGTTGTGAGGATTTTTATTTTCTTTATGTTGAGGTGTAATCCATATTGAAGGATATAGTCTTTGATCTTCATCATTAAGTAATTCAGGTCTTCACTTTTAGCAAGCAAGGTTATATCATCTGCATATCACAGGTTGTTAATGAGTCTTCCTCTAATCTTGATGCCATGTTCTTCACAGAGTCCAAATTCTAGCATCATTTGCTCAGCATACAGATTGAATAAGTATGGTGAAACGATACACACTCTTGCTGATTTTGAACCATGCATTATCCCCTTGTTCTGTTCAAATGACAACCTCTTGGTCTATGTACAGGTTCCCATAAGCACAATGAAATGTTCTGGAATTCCCATTCTTCACAATGTGATCCATAACTTGTTATGATCCACATAGTCAAATGCCTTTCCACAGTCAACAAAACACAGTACAGTACAGTACTCACTGCCGTGAAGTCAGACCCAACTCATAGCTACCTCTCCGTGGGTTTCCAAGGCAATATCACTACAGAAGTAGATTGCCCAATCTTCCTCCAGAGGAGTGGCTGATGGGTTTGAACTGCCAGCCTTCTGGTTAGAAGTCAAATGCCTTAGGCACTATTCCACCAGAGCTCCCAAATAAAACACAGGTAAACATCTTTCTGCTATTCTTTGCTTTCAGCCAAGATCCATCTGACATCAGCAATGATATCCCTCATTCTATGTCCTCTTCTGAATCCAGCTTGAATTTCTAGCACTTCCCTGTCAATATACTACTGCAACTATTTTTCAATTATCTTCAGCAAAATTTTACTTGCATATGATATTAATAATATTTGAAAATTTTCAGCACTTATTCTGCTAGATCACTTTTCTTTGGAATGGGCACAAATACCAATCTCTTTCAGGCTGTTGGCCGGGTAGCTGTCTTCCAAATTTCCTGGCATAAACAAGTAAGCACCTCCAGTGCTACATCCATTTGTTGAAATATCTCAGTGAGTATTCTGTCCATTTCTGGAGCATAAGTTGGTAAAACCTCTGTGGAGGGCAATTTTGCAATAGCTATCAAATTCACAAACACATATACCCTTTGACCCAAAATCCACTTCAGGCAATTTACCCCACACATACTGACACACGTATGAAATTACATAGGTGGAAGGTTACTCACCTTAGCTCCTTTTATAGTAACAAAAAAAGGAAACATGTCAAATATTATCTATCAACAGGTCAGTGGTTAAATAAATTATGGTACATATAGACAGTAGGGGTCCAAGTAGCTATAAAAGAATGAAGAAGCATTCCTTCAACTGATATGAAAAAGTCTGAAATACATGTTTTTAAGTGAAATAAACCAAGGTGTAAAAGGGGATCAGGGATAAAAGTCTATATTTTTTGTTGTTTTGATGATAATGATGATGATGCATATGCATGAAAAAGCTCTGGATAAACATGAAACAAGGACAGGAGGGTTGAAACTGGGCAGATGGATGACAAGGATGGGAGGGAAACTATTCACTGTACAGTCTTCATATTTTCTTGTTTTAAAACTACATATCAGTTTCACCTATTCAAATGTTTTCTTAAAATAAAATTATTTTGGAATATAGTATGTATAAGCAAAAATAGCAGTATTTCTATGGTGAAACTATGAATGATTTTTAAATTTTTTTAGCTGTTGCAAGAGAAAACCCCTCTCTTTCAATTAATTGGTTTTGATTGAACAATGAGAATTTTGTCTAGGAGTTTCCCCTTTTTCTCTTTGCCTCCAGGAAACTTAGAGTTCAATTGTTCCATATACAAATTATATTAGCCTTATAGTTTTGGATTATTTATTCTTCTTTCTCTATGACTTTTTTGTTTTCTACTTGGGTGGCATTATCATACATATGCTGTTTATTAGAACTACCTCACATCTTTGGAAAGTTTCAATGAAAATAATTCAGAGACTATCTGACTTACAAGAAATGGTATAGCAACCAGTTTGCAAGGAGGAATTGATCGATTGCCATTTGGGATGGAAAAGTTCTTTGCCACTTCTTACACATCTTCCTACCTTGAGTATGTGTCAGTGGGTTGGAACTAGAATCTATTTTTACTGATTTGCAGTTATTTCACCAAGAGTTTTAGAAGGATCTGATTGATATTTTCTTGCACTTGCATTTACATATTACCAATCAATGGTGTAGTTACATACTCAAAACCTGCATATGTGCTGTATAGGTGCTTTAAAGGATTCTCAGAGATAAATTAGACTACACAAAATTTTAAGGCACCTCAATGGTGCAGTGGTTAAAGCACTCAGCTTCTAACCAAAAAGTTGGCAGTTCAAACACAACAGCTGCTCTGCAGAAGAAAGATGTGGTAGTCTGATTCCATATAGATTTGCAGCCTTAGAAACCCTATGGGGCAATTCTACTTTGTCCTGTAGGGTTACTATGAGTTGGAATCAAGTTGACAGAAATGGGTATTTTTGATACACAATTTTAGCCTAATAAACACTTTGTATTCTAGCCCCATGTAAGTTGCAATCTTACTGTATCAGCAATGTGAGGCTATTGCTGTTAGTTGCTGTTGAGTTGGCTCCAACTCATGGCTACACTATGTGCAACAGAACGAAACAGCACCAGTTCTGTACCATCTTCATGATTGTTGGTACGCTTGATCCAATTTGCAGTCACTGTGTATTTTGAGTGTCTTCCAATCTGGGTGGCTCATCTTCCAGCACTATCTTGGACAATAGTCTGTTGTGATCTGTGGGATTTTCATTGACTAATTTTCAGAAGTAGATCACCAAGCCTTTCTTCCTAAACTGTCATGGTCTGGAAACTCCACTGAAACCTGTTCACCATGGATAACCCTGCTGGTATTTGAAGTACTAGTGGTGTAGCTTTCAGCATCATAGCAACATGCAAGCCACCACAGTATGACACCAAAAGGTGAGTGGTGAATCTGTAATATGCATCTATACACCCACACATAAAATTTGGGTGATACATGGGAAAAAGAAAATGGAGCAGAGATCCTTGAGGAATGAAGCCAGCCCTGTGGACATTCGCAGAGCTTTTGAGGCTGAGAGGTAGCATCTTGTGAGTTCTTGGGACACCACTCTACACCCTACGTGCACACACATAACGCCTAACAGCCCACGCTGGCGTGAGTCCCTAACTCACTGTCAGGTAGTTACTATACCTTAACTTGGCGGCCTTCTGGGCACTTGCTTCCCTTTATATGTTGGCCTCATCTTTTCTTGCCTCTAATTGGTTTTCTCACCCTCTTCTCCAGCTCAGAGCTTCTGCTTCTGATTCCTCATAACTGATTGGCTCCTCGTCCCACATGGCCTCTCCCTTTCTCATGCCCTTCTGACTTCTATAAAGCTTGATTCTGTCCACATTTTCCAGGTCACATTTGGTAGGGTAAGGGGGTGGGGATGGGATGGAGCTAAGTTCAGTCCATCTCATTG